TCCCTCAATGACCTCTAGTGCATCATTTAATGTGATATATACTGGAACATGACACTAGAGGCCAAATACTCTCATATCCCAGTACAATTATATTGGTCCTTTGGACAACTTGGGTAATTTTGTCATGAACTTTGTTAAAGGATCATCCTCCGCTTCAGCCATGTCATCATCTTCATCTATGACTTACTCATGCATAGGGATGGCAACGGGTCGGGTCGGGCACGGATAGTGCCTACCCGCAACCCGACCCGACAAAAAAAAATCCACCCGTTACCCGCACGGATACCCGTTTAAAAAATATCCGCGGACATTTTAAAACCCGCGGATACCCGTGGATATCCGCGGACCCGCAAATATTAAAAAAAATATATTTTAATAAATTATTAAAATAAAATTTAAATAGAATTACAAAAAAATATATAAAATATAATATAAATTAAATTAAATATAAATTTAAATTTAATTTTAATTAAATTGAATATTTTAAAATATAAATTAATGTTAATTTTAATTAAATTTAACTTAATAAAATATAAATTAAATTTTTTTTTATTTTTTGCGGGTAGCGGGTATTCGCGGGTACGGATAGTATAATACCCGCACCCGACCCGTTTATAAGCGGGTATTAAAATATCCGCTACCCGCGGGTTGCGGGTAGTAAATATCCGCGGGTATCAACTATCCGTCGCGGATTTTATCCGTGGATATCCGCGGGCACGGATTTTTTTGCCATCCCTACTCATGCATCAGTTGCTTCTGAGGACGTATGAACTTAAATTAAATTTTTCAAAATTATCAATCAATATTTATAAGTTTAACATATAAAAACTAATAATAGAAATATTATACCTGTGGTGTAGCAATGTGTGACATGATCAATGCTTTAGGCCAATCTATAAATGTTTCTATGGCCTCTCCCACAAAATGAATTTCTGAAGTGGGTATAGGCACCTGAGCTTGGAGATCCCGAACTTCGTCAATCGTCACATGCATGTGGTGGGATAATAAGGGAGCACCATGAATAGTCTGCCCTCCCTCAAGTACTCGTCTGACAGCCACAATGCGTGGGATCCCCATTAAACAATAACTCATACAAACTACTATACTCAGTAGGGTCTACAGCAGAGCATGATCCTCTTGTGCTTACCCGAGGTGCTGTTGGAGCTTCAGTGGGCAACCCCATGATGCCTTGGGTCATGGAATGCAGTTTCTCTTCAAACGCTCTTTGGATTTCTTTTTGTTCTTGTAGCTGCTTTATGAATCATTGCTCCATAGATCTCATGCATTGGTTGAGCCTTTCCTCCCACTAAATATCCATCTTCTTCAATGCCTCCTTATTAATGGATTAAGTGCTCAAAGTAGTCACAAATACCAATCGTCGCACCAACTCCACGTACACGTCTTGGGTGCTCGGGCTTTCCAATGGTCGTTGCTAGAATGTCTCCCTACCTTGGCCAACAAATGTTCCTTGAGTCTGTTGCACAACCAACTCATCTTGCCTATGTAACACCCCGATTTTCTATTGCTCAACCAACTCATCCTGCATATAACAAAAAAATTTGTTACATAAAACACATGACATGATAAATACACAACCAATCAATGTTTAGAATTTGAACTTACAATTCGTTGTGTGATCAAGGCAGTTGAGGAGATGTTATGATCCCATCAGACTTAGTCCGAGCAACCTTCCACATCTTGTACCTAGTAGGTGCATGTGCTAGGTCGAGGGACTCAAGTTCTCAGGCCTCTACTCAACTTTTTCTCATCTTCCTCTCAACTAATGTATAACCACCTCGTGATAACACGTGTTGTGCATCATTTAGCCTTTTTCTTTCTTGGGCGGCTAACCTTTTATCCTGTCAAACAATGTATATTCATAAATGTAAAATCACAATTAAATGCACAAAATGAGTGTGGTCAGTAATGACCACAATCAGATATGCATCCAGAGAATAACACAAATAATATAGTCAAAATTTTATCAATCTTATCCATAAAATCCAACGTACATGTTATAGCAAATTATGAAAAATTATTTTTTCAAAATGTACGATCAGACAATTTGAAATTTAATACAAACGATTAAAAGAGTAATCGTTTGTGTTAAATCTCAAACATGAACTAAGTTTAACTCAATGATTTCATACTTATAATATATTCAAAATTAACTCAACAATATATTACGAAATTTCAATCTAAAGAGTTAACTTAACATGCCAATCATAATAACACAACAAACTTTATCAAATAATGCAAAATGACATCAAATAATCATATTTCCCAAAACAAAAATTCATATATGTTATCAATAAAAACTCAATTACATGCATACCCAAAATCCAATCATGCATACACAAAAACTAACAAAAAAAAATTAACCTTCTTAACGGATGAAAAATGCAGTCGAGGGAAATTGAGGAGTAGGAAAACATTTTGGTGACTGCACCACCGTTCAAAAACGCGCAAAAAATGGCCTAAATGAGTCGCTTAAGAGCACGCCAAGAATTGTACCAAAACGCAACGAAAACGCATTTTAATCGGTTCAAATGAAAGATAATTCATCAAAGAGTAATGTAATCAGAGCAAAAATTATTTTAAACAATGAAAATCCCGAACCTGAAATGCAATGCGGAGGAGAGAAAACGTGAGGAAGACGATGAACAGTGAATGCGCGTAACTGTTGGCTCGCGTTCGCGGGTTGGTTATAGCAGATCTTTAGATGTCGGACCCCCTCCCAGCTGATGTCTAAATGCCTTTACACGTCGGCCACCCTCCCTAGCTGACGTGTAAGGGGTTTAAAATATTAATTTTGGCGGACTCATTTGGCGTTCGGGTTGAGGGGGCCAACGTCTAAAGACTATTTAGACATCGAGGCTGACTGACGAACTTTTAACAATGACTTTTAGGATACTTCTACAGGCAAATTGGCGTCCGAGGTTGGGGTGTCGACGTCTAAGTAAGCTTTAGACGTCGTGGTGGTGGGATCAGATGTCTAAATGAAGTCAAAAAGTGACTTTTGGGTTTTTGTAGTGGACCATTTTGACGTCCAATGTTGGGGGATGACGTCTAAATAGACCTTAGATGTCAGCTCCCTTACCCCGACGTTTAAAGCCAAAGAAAAATTAATTTTTTTTTATTTTCTCGCATATCTTTAGCATCCATTGAGTGGGGCCGACGTGTATACGTATTTAGACGCATGGATCCTTCCATATCTTACGTCTAAATAGTTTTTTTATTTATGAAACTGTCACTGATCATTTTTAACATTGAATTTTCGGTGATTAGACATTATGTGCTTGACGTTAAAGGCCTTTTCTGCACTACTAATTCCAATAATTAAATCCAGTAACATCAAATTGGATTTCTCAATTCGATAACATCAAATAGACTCGTGAATCCAATAATAAGACTTCCAAACACACCATCTAATTTGGTAACACATAATCCAGTTATCTTTCTCTGGATCCGATACCATTAACCGAATTTTCTACTTCAGTATGCCTATCAAATCGGAACAAAAACTTATACTCTAAGTTACAATCAATAACATTTTTTTTCTCAAATAATAGTTTTTTTTCTTTTTAATATTTTAATGTAGCTAATATTTACATGGATAATACAATTTTATAACAGATTAGAATTTAGTTAAAGAAAACCGTATTCTGATTTTTTATTTCAATAATTTTATAAAATGATAAGTTAGAATTTAATTTTTGAAAATTGAATTCTAATTTTGTTTTTTTATTTTGTGAAAATGTAAGTTGAAATCTTCCATGATTTTCAAAAACCGTTAATCAGTTTTCGAAGATCATTAAAAACATAAACAATTTGCAATTTGAAAACTGTTCAAACTTTTAATATTTTCGAAAATTGTTCAAGGCTTAAACGATTTTCGAAAATTATTAAAAGTTTATAGTAACATATTTCAAAAACTGTTTAACATAATTTTTTAATAATTTTTTATTTAAAATTCATATATAATCAATAATAACTAAATTAATTATTTATTAATTTTAAATCAAAAAATAAGTTAAACAATTTTTGAAGTTTATTAATAAAAATCTTCAACGGTTTTGGTTTAAACTTTCATTTAGGATTTTGAAATCGTTAAAAATTTTCAACCTTTATTTTTGCAAAAATTACTAAAAATAAAATCAGAATTCGATTTTTCAAAAATTAAATTTTAACATATCTTTTCACAAAAATTATTAACTAAAAAGTCAGAATTCAATTTTTCAACTGTTATTCAAGTAAATATTAATTAACTATAATACGCCATCTCGTAAATATAAAAAAAAATACATATTGTGTGAGAAAAAAACTAATCCCAAAAAACATCCTTACAAACAAATATACTTCTGAAATAAAACAATTTTTGCTTTAAAAGCAAAAAGGAGGAGCATAATCATTGGAGAATGACAAAAGTGACGGTGCGGGTAATTGGAGGTAACCAACGATGTGCCTAGAACAAAGTAGGTCGCAATGAAAGTCACATGCTACTAGAATTGGAAGTTTGTAATGGTGGGAAAAAAAAGTGAAAAAAGAGGTGCAGACCAGAAAGGAGGTGCGACGACGCAAACCTAGTAAAACTCAAAGGGTGTTTTGGGGCCATTATAAAAATTTGGGTTTTGTCGGAAAAATCAAAATTGGGGTGCAAGAAGAAGCCCAAATGGAATAGATTAGTTTTGAAGCTTCCAACATAACCATTCAATATCAATTAAAAATTATTTTTTATTCCTTTATTTCATTTGCTATTATTTTACTCACATTCTCGATTTTAGTGCAATAAAAATGTCTTTTAGTTATATTATTTCCTCATTCCCTTTTATTTTGTTATTTAGATACTCTAAAAACGAGAATCAAGAAAATTAACGCTTTCTTTGACTTTTATAACAAAATATTTCTTTGCAAAAAGACAAATAATAATAATAATAATAATTAGTTATAATTATGGTTAGTGTTGTTATTATATAAATAAAATTATGCAACTACACACGTCAATATTTTTTGTAATAGAGAGAGCCATTTTTTCTGTTTCCGATCTGCTGTCTTTCTTTCTCGTTGTAGTGTTACAATTTTTCAGAGATAGAGAGAGAGAAAATCTAGAGCGAGAGATAGAGAAAAGATGAAGATCACAGCGTTGTTGGTGCTTAAATGCACAGGTGAAGGTTCCGATCCCGTGATTCTCGCGAACGCTTCCGATGTTAGCCACTTCGGCTACTTTCAACGCCATAGCGTCAGGGAGTTCATCGTCTTTGTCGGTCGTACCGTCGCCAAACGCACCCCTCAAGGCCAACGCCAATCTGTACAACACGAAGGTTCTTGTCCTTTAGATTCCGTTTTTTAGGGTTTCTTTCTTTTCCCACCTTGTTGCTTACCGACACCGATCGCGCGTTTGGGTCATTGCGCGGTCGTTTTTGTTGACCCGTATTCGGTTTATCATATTTTTCCCTCTTTGCTCCCCTTCAGAGTAATAGAAATCGTAATTTTTAAAATTGGCGATGTGATATAACCGTATTCTTTGATCTGCGGTGATTTCTTTGGTTTTCTGGAGGGTTCGATTTTAATTATATATTTTGCCGCGAATTGTGAATGATTGAAAAACGTGGTTCTTTTCTTTTTTGATTGCAGAATATAAGGTGCACAACCTATAACAGAAATGGTCTTTGTGTTCGTGGGATTTATGGATGATCATTACCCGATTCGTAAGTGCCTTTTCTCTTCTAACCATGGTAGAGTCAGAGCATCGCGTGTGTGTTCAGTGTTTGATGTTTTAATGACGGATTTTTTGCTGCTTCCTTTGTTAGGGATTATACATGATAACTACTTCTGATGATATTTATAATTGTGTAAGGGTTTGTGTTTTAAGTTTATTTAATTTGTGCGAGATTCTATAGAAGAGCTGACTGTAACTATAAAAATGCAGGTGATAGATGAATATCAAAAAGCTTTTGGTGAGTCATGGAGAACTGTACAGGAAGACGGTACTCAACCATGGCCCTATTTGAATGAAGCTCTGACAAAATTCCAGGCATGTAAATTCCTCGTCTATATTTTGTGAGCTGCACTAAAGGACTTCGTTTGATTTTTTTTTTCTTCTGTTTAATAAAATGTTACATTTTGGTATCCTTAACAACCATTATTATGCCTCACACCCCCTTTTTATCTGTTCCTGTCAAATACAGGATCCTGCAGAGGCTGACAATTGTTGAAAACCAGAGAGTTAGATGAGACAACACAATCATCTAAGCTAAGCATACATTGATTTATGATTTGCAAATCAGTATACGATTCCCTGCACTCTCTTGTCTTCCGCCAAGTTACATAAGTTTTTTGTGAGAACAATTTTTATTCACATGTTGTGTGAACACTTTTAAGATCTCCAGATCACAATAGAGAGCCTTAAAATGAGAGCTTTTCCATTTTACACTTCCTCTTCAAGGAGTAGCTCAAGATTGGTGGTATATCTCCTGCTCTCTTGCAAAATCAAACGGATTCACAAATTGTGAACTATTAAAGAATCTTTCTTGAGAAGTAAGTTCCTGCATCCAAATTAATATCAGCTATCCTCAGCGAAATTCAAGATATAAGACAGAGAGATCGAGAAGAATCTTAGTATATTTGGGAAAGATTCAAGACACTGTGTTCTTTCATGCCCTCGAACTCCAAATGAAGATTTTTATTTTAATGAAGCTTTTATGAAGCTTAAGTCTACTGATAGTTCATGGGCAGATGCTGCAAGCGGAGACTTTCTTAGAGTAGTGATTGAATCAATATTTTATTGATTTCACTTAGTTTTATTGTACCGGTTTAATCAAGGAATTTGTGCTTGAATGTACAGTTTATCCTATTTTTTTCTAATTTGGGCTAAATTGATCGGAAATTTATTTTCACACTAATTTGAATTATCTGAGCTAATTCTTTTACATGAAAATTTGGAGATACATTTGGGACTATTTTGAAGGTTAAATTGAGAATGCAATTGAGCACCAATGCATCTCAGTCATTTCAATTTTTCGCACAGTGCTGCGTGAATGTTGTGTCAACTTGGTGTGTTTCGTCGAGTTCAATTCTTATCTCGTTTTCCATGCAATTTTTTTTCATAGCTTTCCGTCTAGATGTCTATTTTCACCGTAAGTTTTTACTTTGTTTCAAAGTAGTTCTTTACTGTTCCCAGTAATTATTTTACTCCCCTAATGTCAGGTCTCCAGTGATTACTGTTTGAGTGTTCTAATATGTTTTGCTTGTTTTGCTTGCTGTTTACGAGGCACTTGTTTTGGCTTGCTGGAATTATCATTGGACAATGCATCTCTCATGGGCCACAAAAAAGAATTAAATGTGGTTCTAGACTCTTAATTGATTGGCAAGGAGGTCCCATGTTTTGAGTGGACAAAACTCTGCACATTCCAAAAGATGAAGAAACTGAAGTGCAAGCTGCCAAATATTTTCACATTTTCACGGCAAGCACACCAACCAGCCAAGGAATTTCTTTCTTGCTTTTTAAATTGGCTTAGCATTTGCAAAAAAAGAGGGGACCACTTTTGCAAGTTGTTCATTTCACGGTTTTTGCAGATAGCACATCCACAACGGCAAATTCAAATTGTAAAACATCAGCGCGTGTTTGGAATAACAGTGGGAGCCCCACCACAACATTTTTTTCTTGCTGGAACGGATGAGCTGGAATGTTTGGGATGAGACGTGGTGCTTGGGGGATGGAATTTTGGTGAGCACAAGGGGGTGTGTCCAGCAAAGGTCCAGGCTCACAGCAGCTTGGCTTTGGGAGGGAGGTGCACACAGAGATTAAGGAGTGGTCACGCCTGCACAGCAGCTTCAAACAATGTTCCAAGCAACTTGGCAACCACTATCCAGAGGGGTTGAGTCCCACAAAAGGGGGGGAGTGATGAGAAAAAAAAAAAGCAGAAACACCACAAAACAAACAACGGCCATGGCAGCCAGGACATAGAAGAGGGGTGTTACCAACGGGGACAAGCCACCACCCAGTTTAATGAGAGTTTTCCCTTGACATTTTTTTCATGGTGGTAGAGATGGAAGGTTACTGGTGAGGCTGGGACATACTACAGCCGCCGACTTAGACGTTCTATTGGGATTTGAGATGTAGGAGGTTCGGGGGTCACGTGTGACTGGTCTTAGCTCATTCTTTCTGGAATTAAATGTTCGTGTTCTAGGGTGGTCGGTTTCTTTTCTTTGCTTGACAGGAGCTGATTCCATTTTGGAAGAGAGGGTAATTTCATTTTGGCAAAAAGGGAGCAGCACGTTAGGGAGCAGGGTGCTGATTCATCTTTGCTGGAAGAAGGAGCAAGTTAATTCATTGATTGGGAAGAAGCAAGTTGTCACGTCACTCAGCTGGAATGGAGAAACAGTGGTGATTTCTTGGTGGAAGGGTCGGGGTGCACACGTTTTGCTCGAAATTTCCACAAGTTGGTCCCGTTATTTTTCTTGCTTAACGCATGAACCGATGTGAAGGGGGTGGGATTCCTTTTCTATAAGGGGGTTGATATATATAATATATATTATATATAATATATATATATATATATATATATATATATTTATTGGAAAGATTGAGTTTTCTTTTGAATTATTTATCACCACTCTACTTGCATTCATTATTCACGCACCATTGCCATTTGAAGTTTATTATTGTTTGTTGTGTGCTTTCTACGCTATTGCCATGTGTGCGTATGAATATTATGGTATAGACCATTCTAATCCTGCATAGGATAGCTCTTTATTATTTTAAATCACCGTTTAATGGTGCGTTTTTAATCACCAGCATGTTCGTGTTTCCCCATTTTCCTTAGCATAGAATGCTGCACAATTAATTGCCACTCAATTTTTCTATTTTTTTTTTTTAAATCACCGACCATCCTATAATTTAATAGATGGGCCATTCAATTCTGTTTTTGTTCAACCATGTGTCTATTATGTTGGCCTTCTTATCTTCCTCATTTCCAACTTTCCCTCACTTTCTTTAAGACCACCATTCAGTGTCATGTAAAACCGTTCGTCATCGTAGGATTGTTTCGGTCTTCTCTGTTTGTTCATTTATTTCCAATTTTCAATATGTTTTGTATATTTTAATTTTCAATTTTTAATTTAGTTATTTGCTAATCACAAAAAACAAATCACAACCCCCCCCACTAGTGTTTGATCTGAGCTGAAACACAATTTGGTCCTTTAAGAAGACCTGAGTCCTTCCTAGTACTATCTGTCATTCTTTTTATGCAACAACTTTTGTTGGGAGGTGCGACCCTCTCATCAAATGGCGCCGCTGCCCCCCGCTGCCGCTTCCGCCCGGGACCAACGTTTCATCCTTAGGTCTTTTTGTTGTGTTTGTGTGTGTTGTTTTGTCCTTGTGTTGTGGGATGTGATTGATGTTCTGTTTTTGTGTGTGCGTGTTGCATGTATAAAAAATGTGTTTGTGTTTTATTTGTTTCTGATTTTTAGTATTCTTTCTTTTCCAACCATGTTACCTATTTTGATTTCGTGAAATACTTGCTTGTTTTGCTAGTGCCCCTCTATATGATTCTCCCTTCTGCAAGTACTCTGATTGTAATTCAATCTGCTGATGCCATGTTTTGAGAACAATATGACTCATCCTCTAATTTCTGAGAGTGCTCTTTGGGCCGGTTTCACTTCAGGAGGAGGATCTTCATTGGGCGATCAAAATCACCCCTGACCTGATACATTTCTTGCCTAAGTTTTCATGGCTTTTGCATGAGAATGAAGATGCCCACACATACAGTTTTTTTATAGCCTCCCCCCCACATATCATGTTTCTCCTTCAGGAATCCTCCCAGATTTCCCTCTTTATTACCTTTTCTTTAGCTCATCCTTTCGCATTCATTACAAGGAGCAGCTAAGGATGGAAAGACTCTCTTCCTCTGAGATCCGTTAACCGATTGGGGATACTGAGCTCAGTTCTGAGCAATTTTTCCCCTGTGGCAATATGCTTACAGCACCGGTCTTGGATGAAATGACCCTACCGCTTAGGGATGATGATGCTCCCACAGCATCATCTCAGAACCCTTCCAGATACTTTTATATGCCTCCACCATTCCATCCTCCGCAATAATCAGAGTCAACAATATGATGCCCTGCCCAAATAGCTCCTCACTAGTCCTCCGCCTTCTACTTTGCTTCCTAACAGTGCAGGATTTTGGGTTGAGGCAGAATGACCATGCAGAACCTCATTTTCAGCAAGAGAACATGCAGTTCCAAGCAAGAACTAGGAGCTCTGCCATTCACATAGTATGACTGATCAGATTAGGCAGATGGCCACTCAATCTCCTGAGGAACAGTCTCAAGATTCAGAGTTATTACCATTCAGACTGTTCAGATCCCAGATGAGTGTGTTGTGGCATCAACAGAGAAAATGGGAGAAGTTCATGATGAGCTTACTACTGTGCATACTTTTCCCATCATCCTATGTCCCCTACCCTTGCACGTGAGGGACTGATGATTATTTTAAGGAGCAGAGAAATAATCAGTAATCTGAACCAGGAACCACCTTCATTTCCCCACACTCTAACAAAACCAATCTTTCAAGGAAGTGGAGGTAACAGAACGCAAATTTTGACTATTGCTTGTTGGATGACTGTTGTTGAGAGGTTGTTGATGATGATATTGTTTGATAGTCTGTTTTTAATTCTCCCTCCTGCATGATGAGAACCAATTTTTGATATAAAATTCTATTTTTATTTTATTCTCCATAGAACTGAACAGGAATCGGAGTCTGTTTTGATATTGTTTCTGAATTTGAAATGTTGATTCATGGTTCTGAGAGTGTATCTGAGGTTCCAAGCCTGTTTCAACTAGGATGGTGTTATAAACAACCCCTCATTGAAATTTCACAGAGCCAACATTGCATCACAACCCTATTGCAGGAGGTACAATGAATTGAATCAACACCAAACACCCACAAGTGGACAACAAAGGTGCTGACACTGACAAACTTCAAGATCATAGCACCGTGCTGACCCCATCATCAACAATCATTCTCTTAGATCCAGTTGTGGACAGACATTTCCTGCTTGATCAAATTGGAGGATGAAGCAATTTTTTCCTCAAAACTTCCTTGCCTGGCTCCCTGTTGTTGAAGACACCTCCCTACAAGTCCCACAATTGGCAACTGCCTAACCATGATCATTGGAGTTTTTCTTTTCTCCCGCTCCTCCCCCCTTTCCTTATTTATTGCACCTTTTCCATGA